GATTAGCAACTCAATGGTCGTGGGTTCAAATCTCAAGTGCGGTAGTATTTTTAATAAAGTCGAAAGCCTTAGATGCTAGTGCTTTAAGACTTTAGTCTTAGAATTTATTCTTTGGCCAAATTTATAATAATAATAATAATAATAATAATATATCAAAGTCATGTTCATTAAGCGAAGAGACCACGGTGAAGAAAGGTATAATATATTCGCCTTTTTTCAAAATCCTGAGTGGTTCGATTTATGAACTTATTCCATTGCACATGACAGGAAAGTTTTTAACCATGAAATCTTATTTTCCTAAGCAATGCGTTGCAATCGTGAATTGACAGTCAGACAGACGGGCATTGTTAAATCGATTTGCTTGTTTAACCCATGATCAGGGCAATATAAACGATTTAGTCTACGATTGATATTTTGGTATAAAGGGTTTCTTGACTTTTTACCTTTGACAATAAATCGCTCATATGCTATTTCGTTTTTACTGCTTAATCAATATTTTGCATCTTCCACCCCCCCCCACATACCATTCGTCGATAGGTAGATATGCAAGATTCGTTTTAAGACGGTTGCAATATGTATTTTATTCTCATTTTTTGGCTTTAGAAAAAGAATTGTAAAGAAAGCAAAGCATTTCTTTCACTCCTTTATTTTCCCATCAATACAGCTGATGTTTGTTTTCCCACATCGAATGGCTTGGGTTGTTAAAAGTTTTTAGCGGGTAATGCACACATGTGTCTATATGCATGAAAGCAAATTTAAATTTCCGTTTGCAATTTTCCTGCTTATCTAACGTTACATTTGAAAAAAAATTCAAATGAACAAAGTCGAGAAAAGCAACGATGATCGCAAACGAAATCACATGTAAAGCGGATGTTTTTCATTTTATCGGAAATGATAACAATCGCAAATGATTGCAAATTCTGGGGTAAAAATATAAAAAAAAAAGAAAAAATTTAAAACAAATGTCATTGAATGTTATAGAGAAATCAAATATGCCAAAATATGTTAAAGTCATTCGTTTAAAGATAAAACGGAACGAATTTAATTTGAAAAGTTATTGGAAAGTTCCCTTTTTCTTTCTCTTTTGCTTCAAATATCGACAAAATTGCTTACTGCTTGCTGTTGCGCGATTACAAGTTTTAGAAAAGTTAGATGATTATGAAATAGTTGGAAAAAAAAAGAGAAACTCTCGAGCTCAGTAAGTAATGCAAGATTTTTTTTTTTTTTTTAATTTTAAATGCAAGTCAACTGAAGTATGCGTACGAATTGAATGAATGAACAGCCTTGGAGGCAATGTTAGGATTTCATGACTCGAGGGAAACGTGAACATTTTTCGCCATGGGGGGAGCCCATGCTGAGAAATCTATCATCTTTAGTAACATATCAACACTCAATAAGTTTATAGGATGACACGTAGATATGGAATAACTATTGACATATCCATACCTATTTTCATATTTTACCTGCAGAAAGCAACACAATTGCATTACACAGTTTAACTTGATTCGACAGAGAGATGCACAACAAGTCAGTTAATTTTATTCGGGTTTAAGAGAATTACGAATAAGTTCTTATGTCAGGATATAAATGCCAAAACTTTTGATTCATTGTAACAGTGGCAGTAGGGTGACGAGTGCTGCTGTTGAAACGAACCTTTTTACATGCTTCGTAGGAATATCTGTTAATCGTTTTCGAACAATTTTTTCTAAGATTTGCTGAATTTTCCTTAGCAATTGTAGTTGGATCCTGGGTATGATTTTTAATTCTACTTAATGGGTCTAAACAAAAAGCATATGTCACATTCGAAACTTTGAGATTTTCTTTGATAAGTGGCGGACGGAAAGAGTTAGAATCATCTACCGATAGGTACTTGAAGAAAGTTATAAGGGAAATAATTAAAGTGATATGCTGTCCCGTTTCTTTCTTTCGAATGTCGCTTTTATTGCTTAAATCTTGTTTATTATCGTTTGAGTATAAAGAGAAAGCGTATTTTTGCCTTAATCTTTACCCCATTTCTCGGCTTCGGGCCTTTTCGAAATGCTTGTTGCTCATGTACAACAAGAAGTGAAACAGTTTAGAAAAGAAATGAAAAATCAAGAGTGCGGTAATAAGCAAAAAGAAGAAAAAATAATCGAAAAAAAGAAAGTGCAGTCAAAAGCAGAAGAAAACCATTCAGAAAAACGTAAATTTCCCTACATACAAGCCTTACAACAAATGGATATTGCACACCTATGTAGGTAAGTGGCGCTTTGCGAACAATTAGGTTATCTAAGATATTAGATAGCCAAGACAGAAACTGAGATAGCTAGCCCTTAGCTGGATTTTAAAAGCCATCGATTGTTAACAAAGCGAATAACTTTGTTTGATTCTTTGCGAGAATCAAAAAAATGCTTTTAATATCTATAATTAACAGATGATGTTTAAGTGACAAGTACGGCGCGCAAAGCTTCATTCATTCAGTCATTTATTGAATACATAATAGTATCGTGTATATACGATTGTATATAGTTTTCAAAGTGTATTTCTGCTGTATGACTGCCTCAAAAGAAGTATGAGAATTTGAGGATATACTTTAACGTAAATGGAATAACTAACTTAAGGCATCTCTGTCTCTCTCTCTCTCTCTCTCTCTCAAATTAAAGGATTTACTTTAGAATATATCTTTGCAATGTATTCTCTCATAACTAGCCTTGAAATAGTTCGTTTTTATTCAAGCTGACTAACTTGTAAAATTCTATAAACTAATGCAACATATTTTTTGAGAAATGATACTTTGTCCAATGCTTAAGTGAAAATCATAGATAGCAATTTGACTTTTCAATCTAAGAAGATATTTATTTTAATTAGCATTAAAATCATAAAAGTAAAAGAGTAACGCGGGGAACAGGAGGCAAAAGAGGAAATTTTCCATAAATTATTTTTATATGCCTTCAGGTTAACCGCATTCGCATTCGCATTCGGGGCTTTGACTTTTTGTTTACCTTACCGTATAAATATAGGCAGAGAGTTGAAATCAAGCAGAAGCCCAACAATCACACAATAAATGTCGTATTCATATTTAATAAAGGTAACAGCATCACCAAATAACAATAACAGCAGACAAGAGAAATATTGATTTGATTTGACTTTAGTCGAATTGTAAGACACCAAACGTTTAAGTTAAATCAAGTCAAGAGTGAAGTTTAATTGACTTGTGTTCAAATTAAAGAAATTATAACTTTTCGATAAGTGAAATGATATTTTAAAGATATTTTCAACGAATGGCATTTATTACTAATGGATTTCTTTTCCTGCTAAGCAAATATTAGGAGTTGACGAGAGAAACAAGTACAGGATACGCTATAATAAAATATCCACAGAATATCCAACGAACTTGCGTTAACCGAACAAACTAATCTCATTATCCATAAACTCGATCGAATTTATTGAAAAATATTATGAAACTAGAAAGATGATCGATTGACTTCAACTCTTGCAATAGAAAAGGTTTGTAAGATCTTCTTTTGTTGTTTTGGCTCCAGTAAGTGTTACATATGAAATGACTAACAAAATATATGTTCAATAATAAAATAAATTTTCTTTTTTTTCATAAGTTGAAGAGCAATAGATTTCAAACTACGTTGTGGTAAATGTAATATTTTTAGAAGCAACCCTATATATGCGGTGTTTATGTATACGGAAAATATGCATAGTCTCCAAAGTCGAAAACAGTCAACGAAACAATTGAATAGAAATGATGAATGGGATGAAATGAATTGATGGTTTTTCGTTAGAATGAATGCTTGAATGAAAATTCTCAATGTTTTGCTATATATGTTGTATGTGCGTCGGGCTACTCGTGTAAAATTCTTGTTTTTATGACCATCGTCGTAGAGTAACAAAACAGACAGATATATGCATGCATTTGCTTAAAGGCTAAAAGGTTACATGCACCGGCATATATACGAGATTTTGATACTACGCCCCAAAGGACACTTTATTTGCATTGAAAGAACAACGACAAAGGCATCATAAAACCGATTTTCTTTTTTTTATAACCTTGCAAAAGCTAGATATATTTTGCATATATATACATATATATGTACATGTATATATACATTTGTATCCATACTATACATTAGCCATAGGTCTTTCTGCAATTGAGAAGAGGTTAGGCTTTTAGGCATGTTACGTAATATCCATAGTGAAGGAAAATCAAAAATTTCACCTAAGATTTTATGGTCTGTTTAGTATGACAAGTGGCCACAGTACGCCTAAAAGTAGGGAAAACTTGAATACAATCTCATTTTTTGCTGACCATATTGCATAAGGTTCTTAAGATTCGGTTTAATTTAAAGTAATATGTTAATGTATTCAGAAATTGAAGAGCGCATTAGCGTCGTATTGGCTCATATACGAGATATTATTATAATTATAATGTATTTTATAAGGACAACACAATAAAATATTTATCTTTCTTGAATATTTTATGCAAGCCAGTCCGTTTCAAATCGGATCGGTCGAATTACAAACGAAACAATTCCGGACGGACATACTCAGCAATTTTTAAGCAACATTCACATGAAAAAGCCGTTGCCAAGCCGAGATTTGCGTTCTAGCCGTAAACCTATTCGCGGAATGGGTGCCGTCGTTTTAAGCATGACGTCGGCAGCATCAGATATTAGTCCCCTTATAAAATATATAAAATTTCTATTTAAATACAATGTTGTGTTCTCTGAATCTATGGTTTTAATATACATATCTTTCTCATATAGGGACATACATGCACATATGCATATATGCAAATTAGAAAAGCAGATGAAATTTCTTATATTCTGTATATTAAGCTCTGTACTTGTTGGTGAGATTATATATAATTTGCGATTTGTAGACAGAATTAAGAAATATTCACTTATTGACCCATAGCTAATGGAATTTATGCAGTTTTACTTACCGATCTTTTCATTTCATTGATGAGTACTGCGTGACAACTATTTGTATTTAGTTTTCAATTTTTCTCTTGCTTACTGCCGGTAGGATGCTAGTTCAAAGCACCGGGACGCAATTTTGCAGCAGCACAATACTGGTTCGTATATAACCTGTAAAGAAAGCAATTCCTATATAAGTCTGTTTTTTTTTTTTAATGAGTTAAGAAAAGTTGGGAAATTGTTTTTCAATATTTCTATTTCTGCCTAATTTCTTAGAATAAATGCTAGAAAAATACAGGTGTCCGCCACTTAACACGATTAATCTGTACCGCGCTGTATGGAAACGGTGTTATATGAAACTTTTTTGGTTTTTTACGTCAATAAATATATCATATAGAATAACATAATTGAAAGTTAGATATAAACAAGTAATCAAGTTATATTCGGTGGAAGCCGAATCTCGCATTCATACCCATTGCTATGTTTTGCGCATTCTACGCTCCAAGTTCTTTACTTTGATACCCATATCGCTGGTATTATTAAGAAAAAATTAATCGCGGTGTCTACCATATTCACTTTAGAATTAACCCATTTTTAGACAGATAATATAGCTCGATTTGAGGAGTGTAGAAAATAATTTTAAACACTCTGTCTTGTTTGCCTTATGGTAAATGAGCGTAAAACCTCAAAAAAGTAAAAAAGTAGAATTTAAGCATTTGTAACTTTGTTTGGCCATTGGCCGGTTTGTCCCATTTGCACCTAAGGAGTAGAGTGTTTCGTCAGGTAACTGTGGAAAATTTCAGCCTTGGAACAAATATCCAAAAATTTTTGTTAAAACAAATTAAGTTGCGTTCAGTTTACACTCCACTACGCGGTTTTGCTCTCACCAACTTGGTCCATTTCCAATGCCCACCTGCGCGCAAAGAGTTTCAATGTCCCCATCAAATTTGAAATCGATATCTTCATTTTTGCTGCCAGAAGACTGCCTACAACAAGCACGACATAGACGGGTATACGGGCAGATATGACTTAATCAATCCAAAATTTCACGCAGATCGCGAATATATATACTTTACAGGGTCTTTGAAGCTTCATTTTGGGTGTTAAATACATTATGAAAAAAAAAGCAAAATAAGTATAACCCCATTCTTCAGTGATAGGCATTAAAAAGGGAAAATTTCAACAGTGTTATTTGTTGTATGGACGTTGCCAACTTTGTCCATTTTTGCATACGTATTATGTAATCAGGCAAAGACTATACGTGAGAAACTTTATCTCATGTTATATGATTTTTTTTTTGAGTAATGAGCAAACAACTCGACCTTATTCGGATTTGGAAACAGAATTACTCCCTGTTTATTTGGCATATGTCCTTTGGCCAATTCGATCCATCTTCAATAACAATCTGTTTGTGCAGGAGCTTTATTGTTTTCTGGCAAACTTAGAGCCAATCGCTCCAATTTTTGCGGCCACAAGGACGATTGCCATAGATCTTACACAGAGGGACAGGTGGGATAGAGGGACATATATAATCTTATCATTCGATGGTGAATGATATACGAAATTACATTATTTGATAACCATCTCCTCAAAGTAATGAGCATTCGTTTTCGCTGATCGCTAGTGGGTACAAAAAATAAAAGAGAAATGGCCCCGGAGCAAACGTGAAAACAGATTAGTGTTCAAAAAAAAATTTCCTAACCGTTGGCTGAATGCGAATTTCTTTCTACTATAACCATTCAAGAAACTTAATGATAAAGTAAATAACATACCTAAAGCGTGCATCAAGCACAGATATTTAATTTGAATTGCATGACTGTGCAGCTATTTACCGGTAGCTACCACGTGTTTCTAAATGATGAGAATAATTTTCTTGCATGCATGCTCATAATAAATTTAACGCTTAACAAGTCATTAGTTAACTGAAGACGTCAATATACATAAAAATTAAATGAATGAAAAAATCTACCGATTTTTCTCACCTGAGGGGTATATGTTTGGAGAACTGTTTTGAATACGAGAAAAGAAAAATTCTTTACATGAAAGAAATTTGTTTGTTGAAATTTCGAACTCTTCCCGAAGAGCTCTGAAATGACTAATTATTTGACATGAAACGACGCTGGAAAGCTACAGCGTGTTTCTTTCTGCGGTTCGAAAGACGTCCATGCTTTTGCTGCTTTTATTAAAAGTTTCTGATAAGTTTCTGTGATAAATAAAGAACACTGCCATGCAATGTTGTACCAATACAAAGAGACGCATTGCAAGTTTAAAAACCTTTGGATAGAACGTTGGATAGCTCATTGAAACAAATTTAAGTGCAACGGACAGAGGGACAAAAACATTTGCACTGTTTTCTATTGGATACAATAAGGGCACTTTGGACATTTTTATTGCATATTGAAATCATGTTCAATGCACACTGCTTACTTATAACTGTAAACAAAAATCGCAATAGAATTGAGTTAAAAGAGATAGAATCAGAATCCACTTTTTGTCAAGGTACGTAAAAAGGACATAAAAATTAAAATGATAATAATGACGGTGATGATGGTGATGATGATGATGATGATGAATAATATAAAAATAATAATGTTAGTGCGATAGTTGTTGCTGCTGGTCTGACATCATTTACTTAATTAAATTGTTACGTTGTATATCTAGTACGGAGGATATGTTGTTGCACATATGGTCGACAGCGATGCCATCACCAGGTCTTTATGAAAATCACTAACACCAACTTTGCGGTTATTAAAGTTGTCAGTGACGGTGTTAGCAGAAACAACATTACCGTTACCGTCATCAGCGCTTACACCATGACTATCAAACTCATATATCCCGCTATAGGAAATGAGAAAGCGAGAGATTGCTAGCAGCATAATGTTTGGACATGTAATGCATTAAATTGACCACATGTGTAAGTGACGGGCAATGACATAATGGTATCCTGTGTGTATAAAGCGAGAGAGAATTGGATTTTGTTTTTTTTTTAAATACACTATATGATGCATTTGCCTTTGAAAGTTGCAAGCTTAACCTGAATTTATAGAATACGGAAATAAGCGATCACATTGAAAGCTCCGCTATTTGCATATTAGCTTACTATTCATTCCATCCACATATACTTGTGGACTCTTAAGTGCATATAACCGGTGTAAAAAATTTACGAGAAAATTGCAACTGCTGTCTACCGATTTGGCGAGTGAATGAGACAGAGACAGAGATAGATATAGAGAGATAGAGAGAGAGAGAGCTAATAAAAATTATTCATTTTTGTTTTCAATGTAATTGAAATCGAATGCTGTCCTTAATATTAATTGATTTCGAACATACTTTCCGTTAGCGATTAAGAAGCGTATGCAAGGATACCGTTTTCCAATGAGAACAAAATCTATGTTGAACAATTTATACGATAATAGTACATTTACAGTTTGTAAATACCGTCATTTATTATTCTTTTTATAATCGAGTTTAGGCGTCCAGTCAGATATGTGCATGATTTACCGTACAGCGGTGATGTTGTCATCAAGTTAACTTGTTTGGTTTAATTGGTTAATTATAAACTTGGATACCGGTTATCCTTTCGTTTCGGTTGCAGTGTTGCTGTGCGCATACCAACTGACGACGGCTACAAAGTATGAATTTGATATTTGAATTTTAAATGTGGTGCATTTGGTTTTTGAAAAGATATAAAACATCTGCTTTTCCTAATGTAACAGCAATAGTTGTTATAGCTATGCAATGCTCCATTTTGTACAATGATTTATTTTAAATTTCCCTTTCATGCTTCAGTCATTTTTTGTAACATTTAATTTTGTCCTGTACTGTTTTCAAAATATCTTCACTCCTTTACAATGTTGCGGTATGAAGCATTTTGTAGTCAATACTCTTACAGATTAATAACTGCTTCAGTATGCCTTAGTAAAACAATTTTTAATAGAGTAAAAGATGAAAATTGTTTAAATGAAACATTTCCATCCAACAAGTCAGAATAAGAGATTACTTTTAAACACAACATTGATGAAAAATTTGGAAAGCAATTTATGCATTTTCCTATCAAAAGCTTTTATAAGAATAATGCTTATGGCATTTCAAAAAAAAAAAAAAAAAAAGAAAAAATTAATTAATAATAATAATAATAATAATTAAACATTACAGATAAAGTTGTTACTATGGTTGTCTGTGCACTGCAAGACGCACAGCCACGTTGATTGTTCATCAGTGCTTCCCCCAGTGAGATGATAGATCAGATTAAACTCAAAGAAGTCGATTGGGAAAAATTTTCGCTTTCTTTACAGTCGCGTTGCCATGAAACTTGTCGATCCAAAGGAATGAAAGCCGAACTCAACAGAAGCAAGATCACATCTGTTGCGTTAATGTGGTTTTTTTTGGTCAGTGGAAAATCTACGACTGGATACATAATATCAGAGACGCTTACTCGTGCTATAAGTTTTAGGTAAGCAAAGTGTCTTGCCATAATAGTATTCGAATACACGGGAAAGACGCTAAGTGTGTAAATGTTGTGTTGCACTTTAACCGAAATTTCCACATGAAGAGAATTTCGTTAGATTTAGATTCATCAGCACTCGTTGTCTAAGCGATTCATGGAAGTGATTCATTCATTATTGCGAAGTTGGTTAAGAAAATATTGCCTTCTTATGCCATGGAGCACAATTAACCTTTCGCCTTAACGTTTAGCTTAAGCTTTTTATGAAGAGTATTTTTGGAAATTCCCGAAGTTTATTCCGTAACTTCTTAATGTGCATGGCGTATGTGTGTGCCATATACTTCGCTTCTCTGCTGCTTAAACAACGACAGACAGAGTTTTGTTGCTTCGTTCCGCATGAAAAGACTTCTCCTGCTAAGAAAAGTCTATTTCTGACAAACTATCTTTGATTCCTAGCATCGTCGACCTAATCAGCCTCCTGGTAGCCTACAACGTATGTAACTGGCTTATTGCATTTTAATGCCTTGCCTTTTATGCACTCGGATACTATCTTAAGATACATTTCGATGCTGATAGATGTTTGCCAAGTGCCTCTATAATCCTTTGGAGCAACTCATACACGGAGAGTAAAATCTTTTGTCGAGTGCATGTTGCAAAGTACAAAACCGCTTCCATTAAAGATTATTGCTTCGTCTCATCCGTCCTTCCTTGTTCATCGACATTACAT